ATCAACTTGTTTTTCTTCAGAAAGACCTTTTGATGAAAGCTCTTAAGGATTTAGACTCTCAGCATTGGCATTTGGTTTTAATAATTGAAATTCATCTTATGGATCAGTGGGTTTAGCCTTAGCTTTCATTAGACCAGGAATTTTGCTGCTAAACTGAAAAAAATGGTATTTTTGAATTGCTGGAGGTTTGCGATACAATAAGCTAAGTGCAGAAATCCAATCACAGAATAGTCTTATTTGATCTTCTAAGCTTACAGAAAAATTATTATTCGTACTTCTATTTATTACTTCAACTAACTGGTCAATGCACCAAACCTCTAATCTGGCATACTCTCTTTTAGTATTACCAAATCCTCGGTCAACAGAATTTCGAGTATGCCCTTTGATCTGGAAGCAATATTCGATTTTTTGAAATATTTGGGTGTGACAGGCCTATAGAAAATACCATAAAAGGCACGAGTTTTTAGTTTGTCCACCACAATTATCTGCCCATAATCTAATTTCATTTACTTTACCCACAACAGAAGTTAAAAATAGATATACCATAGATGTGACTTTGTTGGCCCCCTTTGCTGCTTTTGCTTCTGTATAAAGGAAATGCCAATGACGGTTAGCACCTTCTTTCACTAATCCAAATTGGTGCATTTTTAACAATAACAAATAATACCATCTTCCTGGTTGTTGAGAGTCATGAGGTATTTCAACGTTTTGAGCAAAGTCAAAAGACAAAACACAAAATTCAAATCGATCACACTCTTTTGCCATTTGAATATTATTTTCGTATGCCTCTTTCATAGAATGATAATCGTGTATATGCAAGGCAAGTTGGTTATCAAAGTTTTCATCTACATTACTGCTTTCTTTTAATGCACGTTTAAACAAAATACATTCATCGCATACATCTTTAAAAGGTTTTTTAATTACAGTCTTATTTAACTCAACGTCATCTTTCCATATTTTTCGAAAGCTCCAACTACTTACACGATTATCTGGATGCATTAGATTATAAAAAACTAAGAGCCGATTATAGGAATAGTGAGATGAAAGAAGGACAAAATCATTTTTTTCATATTGTACTATTATTTGCCTGTTCATTTTTTTTTTACACATATTTTTGAATGGCTAATGCCTCACCATGTTGATTACCAATTGTTCTAATAAACGATTTTATTTTATCAATTGTTTTAATAGATAATTTAACAACTGTTGAATAGCCGATATTACCATAAGGTGGAGAAAGTATTGTCTGCTTTTTTTGGGCCCATTTACAAAGACAATAAAAAGTATCTTTACCGTATAGCCAAAATATTCGAAAAAAAATACTACAAACTTCACCAAAGTATGGTAGTGGATACTTGTATGAGTTTGTTTTTTGTGTAGTCCTTTACTAGAAGAACATAAGTATTGATATTGAATTACATCATTGCTCTTTACTCATTTTAATACTTTCTAATACTAAAGATTGTAACAGGCTTGACGAAACTTTTTTACTACATTTATCTTTACATGAACAACATGATTTAAGCCTATTAACTAAGTTATTAACTGCATCTTGATACTTTTCAGGAACTTTCTCGGGTTCTTCTGCCGTGGCTTCTTCACTATTTGAATCTGTTTCTGATTCAAATTGAACATCCTCCGCTCTTTTTTCACTGTATTCCATTTTTTCATATTCTGCTTCTTCTTTATCGTAATCCGTTTATTGAAGAACTAAGGTAAAAGTAAGGTTTAAAGATTCAAAAAAATGCACCAAATCCTTTGGGATTTCCATTGATGATTTTTTTTAAATGTAGATTTTAAATTATTATGGTTGCAATGTAAATAATTTTAGATAAGTATTTTAGATCTTATTCTTTTATATATTCATTTTTGCATAATTATTACTAACTTATTTTACCAATTTATTTATTTCTAATATTTATTTAATCAGAGAGATTATAAGTAGTAACGGAATTACAAAGTTATAAATAGGTAATATTAATTGTATTTAATAATTTATTAAGAATTAAATTCTTTAATAGATCATAATGTATGACATTTTAATTTTTAATTTTTAAGCTTTATAGTCCTATCATTATTTAAGAGCGTCATTTTTAAGTGCTTCTTGTGTCTAGCTATTTTTTGTATCTAAAATAGCACAAGTGATTTTATGATAACCACACAACTAAATTCAATCAGAATTTCTATCTGCCTATAGAATAAAGATAAAAAAAATTTTAGCACGTTTAGTTTAATTGTTTATATGAATATAATAAGGTTTTCAGTAACCTTTTTTTTTTAATATGTAGATAGTAAAATTATCTCTTACATATTCATATACATTATTTAAAGAACATATATGAGCACTATTTTGAAACAAAGATTTACTAATAATTTAAATAATGGTTATTTAGGCATAGGACTTAAAATAGATCAATAGAACTCAATAAATACTTATCCATTGAGATTCTACTTTTTTCAATGAACAGCCAATTCGCTAAGGTGATTATAAGTAGATATGTATTAGTTATGCAGCTGATTAGAGGTTTTTTGCTTTTAACTATTCAAATATTTTTATTAGATAATTTTTTATTGTTTACACAGATCGCCCACAAAAAAGAGAGATGCATGAATTTATACAAATTAAGTAAAGATTAGAGTTTAGTTCTAATCTGGTTTCTAAAAAGTCTGGTCTTGGGCTAGTTAAAAATGAGTTAACCAGAGTAGCTCTTTTAAAGCGAATTAATGGCGCAGCCGCTGCGGCTATAATTTACCAATTACGTATATGAATCGATTAGGGTAGCTACCTGTTATTGTTTGAGTTATTTATATTATGTGGTTGCATTATTGTTACGCATTTCAAATACTATTGTAGTTAACTCAGCTTATTAAAATAACTAACAATTATTTTAAAATTTTCTTTTATAGAGCTATCTAGTAAGATCTCACCAGGGTGGCCACCAAAAGTCTGGGTTATACGATCCAAACTATTGTTACAACAGTAGCAGTAGTATATTGCAACAATAAAGCTGCAAGCAGGAGCTGTATATATAATCTAACAATCTTAATAATTATGCAGTATCTTATTATCTGATCCAGACTTTTACAGTAATAGCTGCCCTGGCGAACTCATCTAATAATTATCTGTAGCAGCAGCCAAATCAACTACAAAAATTCGTACATTTATGCAAGAAGGTAATATAAAAATTAAGATACTAAGTATTTATAGGACTTTATTTTAAGATTATAATATATAGTCTATATTCATTATTTTGTAACAATAATCTCAATAGCATGTACTTTTTGTTTTTATTAATAAAAGAAATTTTAAACAATTAATTCATATATGTAAGAATATGTTTGTAATAATTTAATTTTCTATATAATATCTATCTTTTTTCAAAATTCACATTTTTTTACTCTATCAAAATGCCACACATGCGATTCAATAAAAGCACGCAATTCGTATATTAAAAAAATTTATAACAAAAAACAAAAAGAACTACTCGAACTAAGTAAAGAATACAGGAGACAAATTAACACACAAGCACGAGCATCCAAATTAGAAAAACCTGAGTCAGTTAAAATAGAAGAAAAAAAAGAATTAGTCAAAATAGAAGAAAAGAAAGATGAATTAGTTGAAATAAAAAACATCCAAATTGGGTTAATGGTGAATAAAATCTTAGATTGTTTGGAATCTTAACTTGCATTATATTTCTTTAATTCGGTTAATAAATTCTTGCACTTTTTCTTATTAGCGCCTTCTCATGTAATATTACAGTTTCTCATAAATGTATACAGTATTATTTTTTTTTGTATTGAAAAACTAGTCATAAACTCATTTATAATTTTATATACCAACCATGCCAAATTCAATGACTTAACTGAATCGGCTAAAAATTGGTCAGCAAATTTTTACTTGGTGTCCCAAAAATTATAATACTGTAATAGCTATAATATTTTTATGTATTAAAAAAAGCCAATCAGCCAGGCCAGGTTATTGTTATGAAAACCAAGACAATAAATTTGTATGGTCTTACTAAGAAATGTTCTAAGTTTTTAGCTCACATTAAACCCAATTTTTTTATATTGTTCGCATAAAAAACATAATTTAAATCACTTGTTAAAAAAAAAAGCGTAAGCACCGCAGTACCTGGTTATGATATAGAAATGACTAGAATACTGATTATATGCATGATGAATTACGTAATGACACAATTCATCAGGGGTTAAAAAAATTTTATTTCCTGGTTTTTATTCTCACGCACTCATATCTATTAATTATTGGACCGAGGCTCATTATTGAACTTGAACAAGTTCATGAACTCTTAAACTGAACCTGAACTGGACTTGAACCTGCTCAAAAAGTTCAATATTGAACTCAGACCGAGCCGTATTTTTACAAATAAATCCGGTTCAGGTTCAGTCCGAACTTGAACTCAACCTAAAGTTCGGTTATTTATATGAAGAACCAAGTGATACTAATTGCTTTTATCTTTTAATAAAAATACCAACAAAACTGTCAAGAGTTAATATATATATATATATATTTTTACAAATATATTATCTATAACTATAAGAATATATACCAAAAATTTTGGGCGCAAACAAATTCAAACTATAGTAGTTTGGGATTTGAACAGCTAAATTTAAACCACTATGTTACAAATTATTATGGTTTAATTAAACTTTAAATTATATTTCTTATATTATTTTTTTGTACAAAATTAAATGTCTTATACAAAATTGAATATCTCTTTTTTATACTAATTTTAGTATCAAAAAGACCCGTTTTACCAATTTCTAAGATACAAGAACAGTACAATACTAAATTAAAATTAGTATGAATAATTAATTTTATTTTATCACCCAAATTCGTGAAATGTCCATTGGTTAAGTTTTGATATAATTTTTGACTTGTTATTAAATGGGCATATTTCTACTTGTAGAAATTAGACTTTGGTATCCCTGAGTGCTAGTTTATCTTCCTATAAGTATTATAACAAAAGTGTTATTATATTTTAAGCCTTAACAACCACTGTTTCTGTAGCTTCCGTAACTTCTAGTGGTTTTGACAATGACTAAATCCAAATAGAAGAAATTTATTAATAATTCATTAAACAAACCAAAATATCTTGAATAATACCTCATCAAGGTCTAGTTTTGTTTTATCTTCTAGTTCGCGAATATCCTCCAGAGTCATACCAAACCATTTGTCAGTCCAACAAAAAACTTGTCTATGAAACTTAGTAAAAAGGGAACGCATGATCTACGAGAAAAAGTTATCAAATAATTAAAAAGAGGAAAAAAAACCCCATTAAACCTAATACAATGAGCTTACATCTTGGGTAAATGCTTCCATTTTAGTTTGAAGACCGAACCATTTAAACTCTATAGTTACAAGCTTATAACAAGTCATAACCGGAGTGACAGTTTTCTTTAAAAAGTAAAAATAGGTTTATATCAGTTTATAAAATAAAGTAACAAATGTTAAAATTGCCAGTTCTTACAATCCAATCGCCCTTCAATGGACCTCTACCGGTCTTTTCGGAATGGAACAAAGTAGGATCTTCATCTTCCTGATAATCTTTAGCTTCAATAGGATCGTTTGCAACGTCGATTATCACTACTTTACGTTTCTCAAGTAAGTCTTCAGAAATATTCAAAGCCTAAATTATTAAGGTATGATGATACATTTATTATTTGTGCTCATATATCAAACCAGTAAAAATAAACTCACATTTTCTACTTCGCCACGACTTTCATCAATATGCATTGATTCAGTAATTAATTTAAAATTTTCTTTCATGTATCCATTCTGCGAAATAAATTTATTAATTCTTTATTCATGAAAATTGTAGATTTCAAAAAAAAAAACATACTGTCAAGACTGATTTCATATGTAAATGATGTTTATGAGTTAGTATAAATTTAATTTTGATACTTTTTAATTCTTATGTGTTTAATATGATCCAATACCTGTCTTACAATGAGGGTAGGCATTCCACGCTTCTTCGTAAAGTTCAAGCGCTCCGCTGGGTGCCAAAGCTCTGATTAACATTGGGACTTTGCTATAAATCAAGACTTATAGGTTAGAATTCTTTATTATCTAATATATAAATATGTATGTATACAGAGAATTAAATAGAGGTGAACAAGAGAAATTGCATTATTTGATTTCATAAAGGTGAAGTGATTTTGCGAATGCGTCATATTTTAAAACTAACCTAGAGAGATGATATATCTTATACGTATATTGACCCTTTCCGTTATCATAAGATTCGTTCTTGATTACTTCCACTCCTTCACCTCCACTAGTCTCAGCCTTTGAAGCTTCGGCGACCGAATACAACTGAGCAACCTACTAAGCAAGACGACTTTTAAAACAAGATACTACCTCCCTCATGTAAAGATGAGAATAAAAAAATGATTTTACTTGATACTCATCGCGTGTACAGTTGTTAATTACTCTATATTCTCTTATAAGCATTTTAGTGCTGAAAGGAACGCCTACAGTTTGAAAATAACTGGTGGTGATCATCAACGCTCTTATTTTTAGGGGGAGCATAATCACGGGATGCGTGACCAATCAAATTATAGAATTTTGACGTCGCAAGCGGGAAGGCAACTTAACTAAAACCTGCCCTAATCTAAGATGGCCCAAACCCTAAAGTTAATTCAATAAAATATATATTATAAGACGTCCCCTAATTTTGATTTCATATCTAATTACACATACATTTCTGCATTTCTGAGATATAGCACTAGGGATTGGAATCGGTTTAGTCGACTACTTTAGTCGACTAAACCGATTCCAATCCTTATATAGCACCCAGTGTTAAATATCTGAACTTCATTGAGAGCATAAATTGATAATTTTATGTTCTTATAAACATTTTAATGTTCTTAATGATAAAAAAAAAAGATAAAAAAAATAAAAGAAATTATATTTTCTATATAACTTATAAAAACATAAATTATAAATTTTATGTTCGTAGTTGGTTCTCAGATCATAATTTTTAATATGTTCTCGAATTTTTTTAAATGTTCTTGAGAACACTGAGAACATTAGATATCTAATACTGATAGCATCCCGGTGATGATCACCACCGGTTAGGTCAATATGGTTATTCCGAGATTAGAAAGAGAGTCTATATCAATATCCTTCCCGACATTTTTAACCGTGCAATATCCTTTTTTTTTTAATTATTTGAATACTTCGACTCTGTGTAACCATTGTTTATTCTGGATGATTAAAATTCCGAATGTAAAAAATTAACTTCAACCCCGGCGCCATTTATGTCTATTATAATATCACATATTCTAAGATCTAATTTCGAATTTATATACTTGGCAAATCTCAAATATTTGGAATATATGAAAAATGATTGAATGTTTGGGAAAACTAAGATAAATACATTTTTAACATTTCAATACAGATGTTTTACATGCATAATATGTCTACAAAACTAAGACAAAGCAAAAAATGTTGACTGCTACCTTTCTTTTGAAAATTTTATTATATTAATGAAACTTTTGTTCTAGCCAATCCGCCACGGAAATTCTTGATTGGCTTTGGCACCATTTGCAATCTCCTGAACGCTTCATGTATATGTGAAGGTTGTAAAGCTGTTTGCTCAGGAGGGGGTAAGGAAAACAAAAATACATTACCGCCTGTGTCGTAATTTTCACGTGGTCTTTTAAGCCCTTTATTATGCATTTTCTGATCTTTGTCCAAATCTCGTTTAACACGAAGCGCTGTTTCGGTTAAAGTGCTAACCATCTCAAATGTCAAAAATCCTAAAATGTCTATAATATCATCATTTGGTTTCATATCAATGTATGCTGACATGTTTGCCCATTCACGAAAACGTTTCGCTTTTCTATAAGTAAAAGATGCCTGACGGCATTCTGAATAATGTACATATTCTTCTCTTGTCATAGCTCTGGTAATTTCATCTGCATCCTATAGAATTTTTAAGTTTTGATAAGCTCGATCTAACATTAGAAAAATATAATAAACATACCTTTAATCTTTGTATTGAGTCATTGTAGGCTTCAAGCTCTTCTTCATCTTCTTCTTCACTATCTGCGTTCAAAAATTCCGAGAAAGAATTGACCAGTTCCCATGACAATTTAACTTTCATTTTGCGGGCTTTGGCCAATTTATCTATATTTATTTTACGAATTTAGTACCTTTTTTTTTATTTGCAATATAAATTTCGTTATAAAATATACCTGCACTTGGTTCCTCAATAGTCTCTTCAACGGCATCATTTCCTGTATCTTTTACATTCTTGCGAACATCTTTCCAACTCAAATACGTTCGTAATCGATTTACTTTCGCTCGATCATGACGAATTAAGAATATAAGATCTTCAGAACTCATGTATCGTGAGCCACGCTTGGCTGCTTGAGCGGCTGCCTGAATAATCTGCATAAAAAAAAAAATTACTTGTCAGAACACGTATTATAATATATCAGTGATGGACTAATACGCATACAATTTCAATCACTTGTGATCTAACAATATCTTCAACAAGTTGAATCGTTTCTGTCAGAGGCTCGGGCACTTCGCCAAAAACAAACATCATTTGTTGAATTTCGGATGAATATCGATACTTGGACTTTTCTTTTTCCTATTTTAGCCGATATTTTGATCAGCATCTTTGCGAAATGTAAAAAGTTTAAAGTTTTGGTTTAAAGAAATTACCATCTTTCGCGTCGATAACTAGAAATCGATCTTTCCAACATAGCGGGCTTTAAATTTGATTGGATGATAGATGATATGATAGACCGAAATGTTACAATGACCCAGGTCACGGTTTCTGTGTCGATTATGTGGTGCAGATTTCCCGAACTGCAAAATAGCCAACAACTTATAATAAGGCTATATAATTGTTTCTCATAACATAAAATCAGGGACCTGTAAATTATTTGATTTACCGCTGATTACTAATTATGTACATTAATAAAAAAAAAAACTTGCAATTTTTGTAAAAAAAAAAGTTGCACTAAAAATTTAAATCAATTTTTTACGTGCAAATGGTTTATAATTTTATTTGTTCATATCGTTAAGCTATAAAACTTTATTTATTTGAACCGTTAAAGTATAAAATATTTAACATTTTTAACGATTCTTTATTTAAATTCTGCCTATCATCTACTAAAATTTCACCATAATCCGAAAAACTTCTTTCCACGGCACATGATGAAATTGGAAGCTTTATATAATCTTCTGCAATCATGCTTAATTCCGGCAATTGGTAAGAAATCTTTTTTCAAAATTCATCCAAATCTTCAAACTGAATTGCTTCTAAATTTAAATTTAAATAAATATTCCATTCTTGAATTAGTTGAATAGATGAACTTGCTAATTCGGGTATAAGCCTATACGATAAAATATCATGATTTGCTTTAGTCAAATTAATAAACCGTGGATCAAAAACCTGAGAAGCTTGAAAAAGAGAACGAGCTGGGTGATTCAAAATATGAGTTTCATATTTTTTATGGGCTTTTTCGAATGTACTTTGAAAAATAGGAACAAAAGAAGAGGGATGGAAACCAAGAGAAATAATTAATGAATCAAGATCACTAACAAAACTGGTAGAGATCTTATTGCGGCTTAGAAATTGACCAAGTTGAAAAATACGGGATTCAACAAGAGGAAAAACAGGTTTTGTATCAAGCTGGAAAAAATCCAAATCCGAAACAAATGTCTGTACATATTTGGTAATAAAGAACAAATAAATTTGAAGTGGCCTGCCAATTTGAAGATTCGTTACCATTTCAGCAATTTCATTAACAACCGTGGTATGATTTTCATTGATAAAACATACAGATATATTCTAAATTTTCATTGACATAGAAAGCCATATGAAACCAAGTGTCCCATCAAGTTTCACATGGAAGAGGAATCTTTTTTGGTGCAATAATTCCACAATATTGAAGATGCTGCATATAACAACTATGACGTGCCTTTGAGTAGACTATTGTCTGTTTTATATTACTAAGAAATTTTTGTACAATATCAAACTGATTAATCACAATCCAGGCTTTTCTAAAAAAAAAATTTATTTTTTATTATAAGTATTTATTACATACTTACATACTAATATATATAATAATAATTAGTAAAAAAAAACTTTGTTTTAAGCTAATGCCAGATTTTACTTTACTTTTTTTTTTTTAACAGTTTGGCAGTCTTGCCTCTACTTTATTAGGCTTTATAATATTATACTGTGAAATATTAACATTTTCATAGAGTATAAACCCTAATGCCATCTAAATTACAAGTATTAGCTCACCCGGCTCATTGTGACCAGAGTCCAAATTACCTATATGCGACCTGCTATAGGCAGAATTCTTCTCCAAAATATTCTCTACTACACTTGCAAAGAATAAATCTTTACCAAAAGGTTCCCACTAGCTCGTCAAGACTATCTATCCTTTTTTTTAAACTTTTTCCACCTAGATCTGGGCAGAATAGTTTATTTCTTACTTTTCCGTAAAAGAAGAAAAAATATGTTACATATATGAAAGAAAACAAAACTATCTAGAAAAAGAAAGAGAAAAACAAAAAAAAAGAAAAAAAAACATTTAACCGAAAAAAAAAGAGGTTCTAAATATGGTTCTATCATAATAGGAACAAGATGAAAAAAGCAGAAAAAAAGACAGGTGTTTTGATGAACCACTTTAAAAAAAAAAAAACAAATAAAAGAAACAAAAAGAAAAAAAATATACTATTATAACCCATGCCAGGTACAAAGATAAAAATTATATACTAATTGCAACTAATTAATATATCTTGGCTGTAAAGCTTCGCTTTATCGTTGGGACTCATTCTGGACACGTCACCAAGATCGAGTATCTCCTAAACAGGGTTATCGATCTCATCCCCATACTATAGCACCATAGTGATAAACAAAACAAACATGTGGTTGTATTCTACTAAGTTTGTCCAAATTAGATAAGTATAAACAATGCCAATATTTTGGAGAGGGTAAGCTGGAAAGCCTATATTTTGTCAAAATTTTTTGGTGAGGTCAGCAGAATACGAAAGAGAAAGAAAACACTTGAAATCACCAAAAGAGCATAGGTTTTCTTTTACTAGAATCAACTATCTACTGGAGCCTGCATAGTACTAAGTCTTTTCAGTAAGTGATAAACTCTGAACTTGTCGACAAGTAGTGTATGAGAACTACTTCTAAACGACAAGTGCTATGTCTGCAGTCAGTAAGTGATAAACTCTGAGACTGTTAGCAGGTAGTGTATAAGAACTATCTCTAAATAACAGCTGCTAACTTACAGTCCCTTTTCCCATATCTTATATGAGAAGTCATTGACTTTACTCTAGTGTACTGTATTTTTTTCTAGTAAAAAGTTTTTTAAAAATTGTGGTCCAAATAATCGTTAAAAAGAGTTGTATGCAGATTCTACTCTACTATATTATAAAACTTATATAAAAAACTTGTTTTAATTTTATAGTACTAATATAACAATAGTGCTAATTTTTATCTGAATTAGCAATTAATATATTTTTTTAATAAATAAAATTTTAAATAAAATTTTTAATATATTATATTTTATATATTATTGTATAAATTATTTTAGATAATTATAAACACAATATGTTAGTAGTTATTCAGGTGCCCAAGTACATTGTTACCTACAGGGCATCTGGAGCTGCATTCTAGCTAGCAAGAATGTAGTAAATAAGCACAGCTGAGATGCAGAATTATGATAAATTTAACTGACTTTAGTCGAGTAATTAATTTAATATGAGTGATCAATATAATGTATCCTTTATATCATTTAGGCTGCTTTTTTTCAGAATTTGAAAGAATTTTAATAATGAATTTATTAATTAGGATACCTAGGCCGCTTTTTGTAATTTTCGAGACGCTTCTGAAAATACTAATTAAGATATATGAAAAAAATCTGCAGCTGCCTTTAAATATCTAGAATGCTTTTTGAAATTTTCTAGCTGCTTCAGAATTTTTTTTTTTTCAATCACAGAATTATTTTAAAAAAAATATAAATTTTATTGAAATTTATGTAATATCAAATGCAGTATATGTATTTTTACTTTATTTTTTACATCATTGCCGCAGAATAAATATAAATCTAATAGTTTATAGTTTAGAAGCAAATTTAACCTATAGTCTAGTATATGAATTTAAATGTAATCTAATCTAAAAGCAAATTTAACCCAAGACCATTAAACTAAAAAGAACGAACAATTCACTAACTCGTCCTGACAATTACTTATACCAAATTTTGCTTAAGTTTTTTCAAAACCGTGCTTTTTATCATACTCTTTTAATTAACTTTTATTGTTCTATACCCCATTTTATATATAACTACCAAGTTTTATAGCTCTAAATAAGATTTTAATTAAATTAAATAAACCTCTGTCAAAACAAATACATTTTGAGTTTACTCAAAATTTGCCAAGGAAACTG